CCAAGGGAAAAACAATGAGCTAGATGTTCTCTTATGAATTGAAACTGGTTGTAGTTGCACATATATTTCAAAAGATGCGTCATTCTCTCTACTCTACGTAGCTGCTGATATCCATTACAGCAACCCTCGTGAATTAATTCTTCATTCCTTTACGTGAGGGTTAAAAAAACATATCTCATCACTTTTACGTCATTATCATTATTCATTTCTACGAATAAAATTGATTTATTACTATCAAAAAATTCTATCCAAACCCCCTCAAGGTGGTAAACTCTTTCCTGTTTCATTATCGAGCTTTTTCTTTTTATTCATATCACAATGTCAAGTGTCTTTGGGTATTACTGTGAAGATGGCAATTTTATAATTTACGAGGGGATTGGTAATTTAGTGAGAATATTCAGATTAAAGTTTGAAAATATCGTATTTTCATATCTTGAAGGGTTGACTTGGGATTCTAGAATTTATCACTGATTAGAATTAGGTGAGATATATCCAAAAATTTTTTATTAAAAATTCCCTTAGTTTATGAGAGGGAATGAATTAGCACCAAGAGGGAAAGCTGGAAGACCTTTTTCATCCAATAATTGGATTTAAAAAATTATTTCCAGCTAATTAATAATAATAATCCCTTGGGAAGGTATTAATACAGACTCAGATCAAGGTGGAAAAACAGTTAGTAAAAAAAAAATGCTTAATTTGAAACCAATCCAACAAGTTGAGAATAAAAAGTTTGATAGCTTCTGTTGGAGATCATCTCCAACAATGACTTTACAGTCTTGGTTTAAAGATGTTTCAATGATGAATGTTTTGAAAATTGTGATCAATTAATGGTAATCTAAATACTGATGTACCAATGTCACATACTGTTTGGCATCATAATAACAAATATACATCAATAGAACACATGAGGTACAGGTGAATGATGTTTGCTGATCAAACAGACTTTATAACAAGATGAACGCATGTTCCTTGTTGACGAAAAATATCGAAGAATTGTAAGCTGGCTATTGTATGGTACAAAAGACTGGCTATTCTAACTGTCCTCGAGGCAAGTATTCAATGGGGAATACATCTGGGGAGACAAGCCCTTCAAAAGCTTCCAATTCTCTAGAGGGTTTTGAACGATACTGAATAAACCCGTTCAAATGATATCACCAACTTCTAAATCGATTTCCAGCATATCAATTTAGGATTTAGGAATTGTTCGACAACTGTTTCTCAATGGAATCAACAATTCTATTTAAATTGTTTAAATTTTCATTGTTTTATTTATCTTTTGTTAAGGTTTATTGCTTGTATTATTCTCTTTGTTGTGAAATTAATCTTAAATTACATCGAGCTCTCAACACCTTACTATCATACTTACATCCGTTATTTCAACCCTGAGATAGTTGACGCGTTTATAGTAAACGCCAGAGCTCATGGAGCTTAAACAAAGACCCTGAGATTGAACAGACACGCAATTTCCGTGCGTGTCATGTAAATTACGGAAAATTAATTTGTGTCATACATGCACGAGATACTGGCTGGAAAAACTGTCTTCCATGTTATTTAATGAAATGATGTGATAAGAAAATTTAAATAAACTATTTCTTATTATCTAGCAGCGTTAAATTATTTAACAAACTTATACAGAACTTGATCAACATCTAGCATCTTCAACTTAATACCTTTATTTATTCAATCGCCACAAGGAAACTATTGAAGATAAAAATATGACAATATGCCCATGTTATAGAGAAGGAAATTTCCGATTTTAAACACTATAATACTTCTAAATTTGGATCACCAGAATGCTGGAAAAAAATGATCGAAAATAAAGAATTAAGAATCATGTAGGTGGACTTTGATGCTGCTGATGAATATGGAAATGGTTAATATTTTTTTTCCTGTAATTTAGTGGTGTGAGCTTGGATTGTCAGTAACAAAAGAAGTGTAGTGAAGTAAATTAGGAGCTTTTTTTCCACCAAGAATGAGTGAGAGAACAAAAAGAATAATAATACAGATCAAGTGGTCAAGCCTGAATGATAGTCTCACAATGTGTGTTCGTTGCACGATCGACGTCATTTGCCTAGGGAATTACAGCTTCCGTCAGTCTGACTAATTTGCTTCGTTACCAACGACAAATGCTTCGTCACTGGTGTAATGCTCTCTAGCTATTCCACCAATTTTTTGTCACAAATGTCTCTTGAAAAAATAAAACCACAGAAATATTGGTTCTGTTCATGATCATTATTTACAAGCATGGTAAAATATCACTGCTCATTTTAACAACAATAGGAAGCTTCTAAAAAATATTTACTCATCAATGCCATCAACATCTCCAGTGCTATTCTCTTGGAACCAATCTAGGGACCTAGGGAAATGTTATTGATATTTTGTTTGGAGATGTTGAGAAGGTGGTGAACATGAAGTATACCTTATTACCAAGTAGCAAGCTCAATATCCAAGCACTACTCAGTAATCCTTGTCCTCGAGCAGATCATTAAACTAGAGCAGCATAGTAAAGCAAGCCAAACGCTTGGTTGTCAGAAGCCACAATCATGTCCTTTGGTCGTCAAAGTCCAGGATAGTTGTAACCTCTGGAGACGAGTGTTGGCCTAGACGTGGTAACGATCAGGCAATTGCCTCGTAAACTCGAAATACGACCTCTATCCAGTTGGCTTGTAATCGGCGCGTGTGTACATGAAGACATTGAGCAAAATAGAGAGATGGAGAACCACAAGAGTACCTGTGTAGAAGGCTATTTCAATGATCTCATCACCGTATCACATGGTTTAATTCTCCAGCGACACCTTGACTCCGGAGAATACTCGACGATGCTGGAGAATCGTTCAAAGGATTCACTAATACTATTTACTTACTCTCTGATACATTTTCGCTCTAGATCCTTGATTTGCCAGAGAGTTACGTCATGTTTACTGGAGCATCGTATGCGAGAAATCATATATAGACGTTTGTGTAGATCGTTGATCACTTCAATTTATGTCCCGAGCAAAGCTTGAAACACTGAAGGGAAGCACTACGCTTCTTGGTTTGATTGGAATCCTGTTGCGTTATATGGGTAATGCCGTTCCCTTGTTTCTCTTCCACTTCGATGAAGGGTGTATTGTGGTTAAGGCTATCCCATTACGCGGCCACTGCTTGCTACCAGACAAGGATAAGCAAGATCGATAGATCGTATCCAACCTCCATGTAATTATACTGATTTAAAATCATGCTTGGATTTTTAGAGCTTTTTTTCAATAATTTATGATTAAATGACTACATTTCTGTAAATAATGATCGAATCTTCATCAAACATAGCTCATTTTTAAGAGAAAGAAACGAACTTTAATTTCCAATACTTGGTTTTTATGTAAAAAAAATTTTTTGAGCTTTAAAAATATTTTAAAGTTGATTTAAAACAACAAAAGCTCACAAGCTGTCTTATTTTTGGTTTCAACATTTTTTTTTTTTACAATAATAGAGATAACTATGAATTTTTTTAATGATGGATTTCAAAACTAGAGCTTGCAAGCTTCAAAATGCACTAAGATTGAACAAGATTCGATAATTTTCCGATAAACTACAATCATTTAGATAATAAGTAAAAAGTTCATTAGCTTTTCGTCGTATCCCAGGCAGTTTAAAAATATTTTCCAGCACCAAAAAAATTTTTCTATAAAAACTAAGAAAATGCAGTTGAAGTTTAATATTTTCTCTTCAAAATGAGCTCTGACTGATGAAGATTCGATGATTTTTCGCCCAGCTTTAGCTGTTCAAAGATCAACTAAACTTTCCAAGTAGTACAAGTCAACGAGATAATTATTTAAAACTAATTAACAATTAATTTTCTCAACCAAAAAAGTAATTGTTTCTTTAATTCTACTTTCAAAGGGTCATCTCCAAGGTATTGAAACAAAGCAGTATCTTCTAAAAGAAAAAAAAGAGTCATTAGAAACGAAATTTGCAATCCAGAACCATACAATGAATCTATAATCGACACAACGAGATTAATATTAATTGGATAAACTTCAATGGCATAGTTACTACCTTCATTTTGCTTCCAATAACGTGAGAAACACAGCGAGGATAGAAAGAGAAAGTGAATAAACTTGCAAAGCTGAAGATCTAAGGAATAGTTGAGAGTTAACGAGTCGATAGGAGGAGGAGTTTGCCTATCATGAAATCCTCAGGCAAATCCACTGACGATGAAACGCAGACATATAGCACTAACGACAACGTACCAACCTTAGAAATTCTCTTACGCATGGATTCTTATAGTTGGCAAAAGTTTCCCTCCAAAATCCCTCGTTTAATATCATCCCAACTATTGCCAAAGCAGCTTCCACATGTTTTCTTCTTTTCCAACCTTCTTTCAACGTTCACTTGCATTTTTCTGTGGTTTGCAGCCATGGATTTAGTATGTTAGAAAAGTTTCCAACTGAAAAGACGGCTACGTAATCACAAGGATGGATCATCGGCTTTGCTTAGTACGTCGAAGACTCGACAATGTCACTTGAGGGCCATTTACAGAAAAGTAGACTTTTTCAAGTTGCCAAGAGCTGGATAAACGATGGAATTTAGCATTGATTATCAATTCAAATTTTCAAAGCGAGAAACTAAAGTTAAATTTGGCTTCCTCAATTGCTTTTGTTATTTCTTGAATACAATGAATAAAATTCACACTGGGACACTCTTGTGCTATTCAAATCAGTCATAAAAATGAATAAATGTTACTCATCTTGCTATTAAGTTATTTCAGCTAGCAAATGTCATTTGATGATGACAATGATGTATGTCAATTGATCAGATGTCATGCTGATGAATTAACACTTGTGTTTATTATTAATTGCTGATCAATAGTCATGTTATTGTTGAAGGATTGAAGAATTTGTGGATATAATGGAAATAAAAGTATTCATTGATCTATCTTGCAACTGGTGACACAGATGTCTCACATTTTTCAATGTCATGCGGAAGTAAATAGACAACTATTGATGAGTATCAGTATAAATGCAGTCCCTGACACCGGATAGGAAGTGTGCAATTTGATCTTACTGAGTTGTGAGCAGCATTACCATGCAACGTAGTACACTTTTGTGTTTTCTGTCGATTGTGACAGTTGCTCTCGGTGCATCTATTTCTGAACAGGTGAGAGAGTTATTTTATGTTACATAAAAAAAGGTCTTTATTCCTTTTTTATCATCACGATGAATTTTTTTAGAATAAATCAATTTTTTAAAATAAATAACTCTTATCTTTAGGTTGCCCAAGGCATTGGCAATGCACTTCCAGCTATTCCAGGAGTGAATGAACCAATTAATGGAGTGAGAATATTCCCTCGTGATGTTGAAGATCAAAATAATTTTATAAGGGACTTTATTAAAGGATTTCAAGACGCTATTAGAGGCTTTAGTCGTAGTTCTAGTGAAGAAAGCAGCGAAGAAAGAGTTCCATCTTTTTTTCCAAGCATAAATCGTCCACCAAGACGACCTTCATTTGGATTTGGTGGTAATCGTCCAGGATTTCCAGGAGCTCGTCCACCTCCACCACCTCCATTTGGACCTGGCAGCCGCCCTCCTCCTCCAGTTGGACCTGGTAATCGTCCACCTCCAGTAGGACCAGGTCAACGACCTCCTCCTCCTCCTCCAGTTGGACCTGATAGTCGTCCACCAAGACCCAATAATACTACTTCATCAAACTCATCCATTCCTCAACAACCTAATCCATCTAATTCATCAATCCCTCAACAACCTAGCCCATCAAACTCATCAGTTCCTCAACAACCTAGCCCATCAAACTCATCAGTTCCTCAACAACCTAGCCCATCAAACTCATCAGTTCCTCAGCAACCTAGCTCATCAAACTCATCAGTCCCTGAACAACTTAGTCCATCAAATTCCTCTACACAATCGAACTCAACTCGTTTCCCAAGAGCTTCAGCTCCTTTTATCCCAGGGTTCCCTGCTATTCCCGACGCTGATCAGTTGGTTCCTCAACTACCAAACCGTGAAGGTTCCAATGTTCAAGTGCCACCAATCAGAGAACCAAGAGCTCTATCAGATTCCACATCAAATTTGGTAAATGATGCTTTAGATGAAGCTAGAAGACGTGTAGAAAATGCTCTTGGGATCACTGGGAATCTTGTCGATGGACTCCAAACAGCTATTCAACAAGCTTTTGACAGTCAGGATCCTACTGGTGCCATACGCACTATTGTTAACACTGTCCTAAATGCTTACCTAGATGTCGCACTCAATTGTCCCATGATTGTCGTTGGCGTTCGTGTGGTCCAGGAAGGCATCAGGTTGGCAGGTGAAGTCGCTGCATCAGCTCGCAATGTTATCTTCGGAAATTAGAAATTATTAGCACCTGGGAAGCAGATTAATTACCAAAGAACAAACCACTTTAAATTATATCAAACTTGCTAATTAATTATATGGAATTATTTTAAGGAACTTGAATAAATTAACATGAGATAATAATCATCAGCTTTATTTATTTATTTAGAACTCTTTCTATCTTAGTGAATTTATGTGATTGGTTTAGAGGTGAGATTGGAGAAGAAAATGATAAGAATAGCTGAGAATTTAGAAATAGAAGAGCAAAATAAGCAAAAAACATCGTGACATTTTTGTATTGCTATGATAGTGCTATATTTCAGTAGTAAAATACATTTTCGTTGAAAGTGTCGACGTGGAAGAGCCTCCAGCTGTCGTGTGTAATATTCCACGTGATGTCTCATCCCTACATTTCCATACATAAATTTTCGTCCGGGTGAAAGTGGCTCTCTGCAAGGCTAGTCAACGCCTCAAGGTACGTGCACTATCAACTTTTCTCAGCTGTGATGTAGACAAGCATGATGATACCAATGTTTCCAATCATTTTCATCCAGACTCTAATAGCTTTAATTAAAAACTAAAAATTGTCTTCACTTGGAATAATGATAACCACCACTGATATTAATTGTTTCAGCATTGATGTAGGGGTTTTCAATGATACATTGGACCATGTGTGCTATTTCTTCAGGCTTCGCCAACCTCTTTGGTGATAAATTGACACTATTCATCAACTGGTCAATAGCTTCTTGAGGATATCCAGCTAGCAGAGAATCAAGAATTATTATTAGCTAGGATTGGATGAATTTAGAGAGAACCTACCTAGCATTGGAGTAGCAGTGAACCCTGGACACAAGCAGACAACTCTGATGCCTTTGGTGGCAAAACATCTAGCAAGAGGTAGTGTCATTCCTTTAACAGCTGCTTTGCTTATCGCGTAAGCACACATATCTTCCCGCGGATCTGTCGCCATAATACTGGCGATGTTGATAATAACGCCGCGTTGCTGATTCTCGTCAGGCACATTCGTAGCCATCATGCCTGCTGCTAAACGTGACACGTTGAATGTCCCAAGGGCATTCACGTCCATCACCCTCTTGTAGATCTCTAGAGGACATGCTTTGCTCGCTTCGAAGTCATATGGGACACCCCATTCGACAATGCCAGCACAATTCACCACCACATTTATCCCACCAAATCGTCGTTTCGCTTCATCCAGTGCTAGAGTCACATCTTCTTCTGATGTAACCTTTAGAAAATTTATTTATTATGTCGGGTTTATTATTCTCTTTTAAGTCATTTGCTGGAGTAGGATGATAAGTCTTACATCAGCTTTGATAAAAATTACGTTGCCTCCCAGATTGCATGCTAACTCTTCACCTACTTCATTGATGTCAATGATGATTGCTTTCCCTCCTTGTTGGGCTATTTTTTCCACGATTGCTTTGCCTATTCCTGAACTTCCACCTGTTACAAAGGCTACAGATCCCTGAAAACCCTCATTTTATTTATTTAAAACACTAAAATTCCAATAAATAATGTTTTTAATCAAAAATCCAATAAAACTGGTTTTATTTTTTTTCTCTGCTTCTAGTGATCAAAAATTGATGGTGTGGGTAAGTTAAAGATCGGAAATTTCCCGCTCTACATGATGCAATTATTAGTTTGATCGAAAAAAAATTATTTCCCTACAAAAATGAATCAAAACAGTTAGCAAGATCTCCAAATGATGTCATTGATGAAGAGCAAGATATATTTAATGATTAAAAAATATCCTAAGGATAAAATATTGATTACCTGATTATTGCAATCCATTAGTAATAAATATTCAAAAGATACTTATATGTCAGACAAAACCAGGAATGAAATAATGGAGCACAAGAGCAAAAGTGTAGGTAGACTTGCGTGTATTGCGCAAGACTAGATAATCGATAGCCTTGATTGCACATAAAAGGTTTCATTCATAGCACGAATAGAGAGATGACATTTATTGTTAATTATCAATCCAACTAACCTAGACCAGTCAGACGAAAAATCATCAAGAATTGTTGATGAATCTTCTAGCATTTTAATTGAAAATATTCCAACATTTCTAGAAGTAATTTGTTTTATGAAATGATGAGAAGCAAACAACTAGACAGATACCATCATTCACTTACACGACACGCACGTCTACACGTCTGAATAATCTAATTTTATGCGATTAACTGTGACGTTGCTACCTATAATGCTTGTAAATTGAGGGAATTATGTTGACGTCTGACCCAACGTAGAGGCTACCGATTAACATACACATTACCTGGACATAGAACTCGTCCTGGAATTTGCATTAGATCTTGTCGAACGTGTTGGATTGTAACCCCTAGAGAACATTTTACATGTCCCCTCTATTTAAATGACTATCAAGTTGATGCTAAAAAAAAAAAAGAAAAACTAATTATTGTGCTACCAACTGGAACTTGATACAATGATTTTTGTAGTGACAGTTGAAACTGAGAGTTGTAAAAATAAATGAGTTAGCAATTTGATGATATAAAAAAGTAAAATAAGAGAATACACAATAATGAAGTGTTGGAGATGAGACACTTGTCATCACCATCAAATAATAAGGTGACACAACCCTTAACGTACAAAATCAACTGCCTCAATAGCAAGTGAACGTAACAATGAACTTGCAGGCATTGTAAAAGAGATTGGACTTAAAAGACACACCTGTCTCACATTTTACTTCCTTTTCATTGTAGAAACGGCACGAGTTTTCCACTCGAAAGGAGTCAACTACAATTTCCGAGTAGAAAAAGCTGTTTCAACTGGTTTTGACATGTAAGCGTTATAAAATACAAAAGCTTTCTCAGATGGGGAATTTTTTTTATTATTAATTATTTTTGATGAATGTTATTCATTGGGAATCAGTTGACATTATATGGAATACACACAATAAGCTCTACGATTGAGAAAAGAAAATTATTTCCTAGAGGAATTTCTTTTTTTCGAGCTTTTTCGGTCTTTAGTAATCATTATTTCTCATTTGAGAGCTTTAGAATAATTTTTTTCAGTGATAAAGCTTTCGAAAAATGTTGTTTGTCATCAGATATGACTGGTGAATAAATAAACGGAGCTTTTTTTGGAGAAAAAATTTTTTTTTTCTATGATTTATTTAGTGATGGGGAAACTAGAAAATGGTTTTAAATAATTTTTTACAAGCTTACAATTTTTTTGAGCTTTCTAATATTCAGGAATTATTAATTTTTCATCCATGAGCTTTTAAAAATGATTTCCAAACAAAGCTTCCTGGAAATTTCTGTGATTATCAGGCATTATTGTAAATTGAGCTTTTTTGAGCTAAAAAAAAATTTTCAAAATTTATTTTAGATGTAATAGAGGGATAAGAATATTTTTTGAACAATTTCCTGAGAGCTTTAAAAATTCTTTTAGTTATAGAAAAAGCTTTCGACACATCTCTTAGTAATAGGTATAATGTGAGTGAATGTAAGCTGAGCTTTTTTGGGGTTAAAAAATTTTACTAATTTTTGGAAAGCACTGTGAAGATAAGAAAGCATTTTTAGATGATTTTGGAAGCTCTACATAGTTTTATCACTTTTTAACACTTAATAAAAATTGTTTTTCATTCAAGAGCTTTTAAAAAATGTTTTTTTTTAAAAAAAAAGCTCTGAAATTTTTTTTTCCGTATAAAGTTTAATAACGTTATGTATCAACGTGTGTAAACTGAGCTTTTATGATTCAAAAATTTTTTAAAATTCATTTAAATGTCATAAAGGTATCAGAGTTTTTTTAAACGACTTTTTGAGAGCTTTAAAATTTTGTTCTTGAGCTTTTCAGCATCAAAAAATCATTATTTTTCATCCTAAAATTTTGAAAGAATTTTTTATCATCAAAAAAGCTTTCAAAAAATCTTTTTAGTGTCAAGCACGATCATAGGAGACGTAAACCGAGCTTTTTTGGAAAAAATTTTTTTTGCTTCATTTTTATCAAATGCGATGAAGACATGAGAGTATTCTTAGACAAGTTTTTGAGAGCTTTCAAATTTTGTTCTTGAGCTTTTCAGCATCAAAAAATCATTATTTTTCATCCTAAAATTTTGAAAGAATTTTTTATCATCAAAAAAGCTTTCAAAAAATCTTTTTAGTGTCAAGCACGATCATAGGAGACGTAAACCGAGCTTTTTTGGAAAAAATTTTTTTTGCTTCATTTTTATCAAATGCGATGAAGACATGAGAGTATTCTTAGACAAGTTTTTGAGAGCTTTTTTGATTAAAAAAAAGAGACTGTCAACAAATAATACCGGAATAATAATTTCATTTTTAATTTCTCCTTGCAATGCAGCGATGTAAAGCTAAAATATCAAACAAACGAGTTTATTTTACAGCTGAGGAAGCAGAAATATACTAAAAAGACAAGCGAGTGTGAAAAGAGAAGAGAAAGCGTCCCTTTGGTGAAATATAGAGTCGCAGAGGTCGGACGCCACGTAAATTGCATACCCGATTGCGGTCGACTGAAGAGTAGCACCCTCTCTTCAGTGTCCCTCGGTCCTCTAGTAGCCTCTGGGCAACTTCCCCCTTGGACCCCTTATCATGCGTGCTAGCACCAAACTGGATCTAACAAGCCAGCAACCACATCTGGGTTCGGTTTGCTACGGACTGTCACCTCTAGAGACCAACGTTACTACCAACGCACTCAACTATTCTTCCTGTGTTATCTATAGAGCTTCTACTCGGCTTCTCAGTTTTCGTTGTCATTGTCTCGCAGCTACGTTTTTCTAACGAGCCCCCTGTTCACAGCTAACTTTATGTCGCTTTGTAAAAGGGTCAGTGATGTCGATGGAGAAGTGAATTTTGTGGTTTGGAAAAGAGTTCCCTATTAAAATGGTTTAATTGGAATTAAAAAAGGTCGTGTGGTTAGAAAGAATTGAATGGAAAATTATGCAAATTTCGTTTCTAATGACTCTTTTTTTTCTTTTAGAAGATACTGCTTTGCTTCAATACCTTGGAGATGACCCTTTGAAAGTAGAATTAAAGAAACAATTACTTTTTTGGTTGAGAAAATTAATTGTTAATTAGTTTTAAATAATTATCTCGTTGACTTGTACTACTTGGAAAGTTTAGTTGATCTTTGAACAGCTAAAGCTGGGCGAAAAATCATCGAATCTTCATCAGTCAGAGCTCATTTTGAAGAGAAAATATTAAACTTCAAATGCATTTTCTTAGTTTTTATAAAAAAAAATTTTTGTGGGGCTGGAAAATATTTTTAGACTGCCTGGGACATGACGAAAAGCTAATGAGCTTTTTACTTATTATCTAAATGATTGTAGTTTATTGGAAAATTATCGAATCTTGTTCAATCTTAGTGCATTTTGAAGCTTGCAAGCTCTAGTTTTGAAATCCATCATTAAAAAAATTCATAGTTATCTCTATTATTGTAAAAAAAAAAATGTTGAAACCAAAAATAAGACAGCTTGTGAGCTTTTGTTGTTTTAAATCAACTTTAAAATATTTTTAAAGCTCAAAAAATTTTTTTTACATAAAAACCAAGTATTGGAAATTAAAGTTCGGTTCTTACTCTTTAAAATGAGATATGATTGATCGAAATTCGTCTATTTTTGACTACACTACAGTCTTTTAAAAATACAATAAAGTCCAAACCTTTGTAATTTTCTTTCTCATTAATTTTCCCAATGTTTATTTAACTCTCTTATCTAATTGCATGCTAGGTTTTGATGTCAGATAATATAATTTTTGAATAAAGCAACAGATGCAATTTAAATTAGAGACATGCATGATATGATCGGCAACGACAAAGTCATACTTTTAATGCTCTAGGGAGTCTGGGATCAAGTTCTCCTCTTGCACTCTGTAACTATTCTTCAAAGGGATTGTAATTCTCTCGAGTTAATGATATTTACTTGCATGTCGATCAATTAACTACTGGTAAGGTATCAATTTTTGGTTCAAGAGCTCGGATAATGACTGAATTATGACTTGATAGTGATTGAGATTTAAATACTTAATCTAAAAAATATATTTCTTTTAAAAATATCAAATGAATCCTTTTTAACCGTTCAATAGACGTGAGGAATGATGTGGGAATGAAGAAGAATGTAAAAAGAACATATGCTATCCAATCACGGCTTCGCTAACTGCACATGTGCTCGAGATAATATAAAGGGATGGGGAAGACTTGACGCCTCAATCAAGGTTGAGGATTCTTTAAAATTTTAAGTGGGGAAGGGGTAGTCTGATGTTGGCTTCATAGGGGTGTTTTAAAAACCTCAGAATGTAAGCTAAAAGATAAGATTTACATATTGGATAAAAAAAATTGATTTCATCCTTGAAGTAACCAAAATATAAAGAATGTCGCATTTTTAAAGAAGTTGCTGAGTATTTCGACGATTTTAAAGGTGGAACTAATTTTTTCAAATCAATCAGTGAATTTTATCTTATAGCTGATAGCTTGAGGTTTTTAAAACACTTCTAAAAAAGATTTTTAGACCGTTTGTTCCAGAGTTACGGTGATTTAAAGTTAGGGGGATGATGATTTTTAATGTGTATCTAGTTTTACCGGTTTTTAAGGGTGTTAACGTGAATATTTTTTAGCTGTGCCCTAATTCCGCATTTTTACGCATCAAGACGAAGAGAATGAGCCCTCGATCATCAAAATCGAAGTACTTTTATTTTTTGGCCGGTGCAAATTCAGAGTAAGGGTAAAAAATCATCCATCTTCTGACTTCTTACCTCCATAACTTTCGTACAAAGCTTCGAATAATGATTTTGAGGAGGTATTTAAAAAGTTCAGAATCTTAGCTAAACATTCATATCCATAAAAAATGTTTAAAATAATTCCTTTACCCTCAAAATTGCCAAAACATTTGGCAAACTCCTAAAAAAATGTGACTTTTTTTTATATTTTAGCGATTTTAACGGTGATAGAAATTTTTTACACGTTTTTCATGGATATATATCTGTAGCTTAGATTCTAAAGTTTCTAAAACGTCCCTAAAAACGATGATTGGACTGTCCGTTCATGAGTTATGAGGGTTTAAAGTGAAGGGGATGATGATTCGTAATTTGTATCCAGTTTTACCCCTTTTTAAGTGTGTTAAAGTGAATTTTCTTGGGCTGAGCCTCGATTCCGCATTTCTACGCATCAAGACGAAGAGAATGAGCCCTCGATCATCAAAATCGAAGTACTTTTATTTTTTGGCCGAAAAAAATGAAAAGGGGTACCACTTGCCATTTTTTGGGGTCGAAAAATCAAAGTTGTCCAATTTTCAAGTTTAACCACTCATTCTCTTCGTCTCAATGCCTAGAAATACGGAATTAGGTCAAACATTCCAAAAAAAAAATTTTTATGCCCTTAAAATCGCTCAGAACTAACGAACATGATGAAAAACCGAAAAGTCATTCTCCCTTAGTCCTTTAACCCCTACAACTTTCAAAGAATGAGTCGAATAATCATCTCAAAGGGGTGTTTAAAAGAGGTCCTCAAATCTGCTATGAACTTCAACTCTTATACTTTAAAAAAAATTTATTTCGCTTCCAAAAAAACCCAAAAATTTCATCATCATACCACTATTAATAAAAATACATTAATACTAAAGAACATAAGTTTATTGACTGATGTTTAATCAAATTATCAGCCCATCATCAACTCACAATCAGCTCTAAATAAATACACTGATAGAAGAGATTTATAGGTGTTAAAAAACGATTTTTAATTATTTAAATCAATGGTTTTTGACTGTTAATAAATATTTTGATATTCATCATTTTCTTGACTAACATATTAATTCCCCCAAGCCAGGATAAATACTAATACATGTTTTATGTTGGCTTGTACTTTGACCGCGGATGTAGCGAGAGTGTTGTCATTTACGTGTAGCAACAGCTACTATCATAGCACAGAACTCAAGCTTCCAGGAAACACTGTTACGCAGAATAATAACATTAAATTACGTGGTTTCACATTGCAACCACTTAGTCAGAAAGGGTTGGAGCTTTACGAAATTAATTTCTCATACTAATGTGAATTGACATCATTCACAAAATTAAAAGACGCTGTCTTAAACCATACGGGAAACCCGGGGAAAAATTTTTCGATCTAATTTGATCTGTATTATGAGACTGACAAATAAAGATAAATTTTGATCTAAAGATATCTAAAAATAGATAATTATATCAACATATATAAAGTTACATCGAAGTAGATTTAATAACATAAACTTTTATTTCTATCTATTTAGATCTAAAAAGATCTGTTTATATTTTTTTTTATTTTTAAATATACGTTTTGAGATTCTTAATATCAAGTTGAAATAAGAAAAAAACGATGTTCATTTTATTTGGTATGTTAAACAAATATTTATTACAGCAAAAAAAAATACATTGGTTAATAATATCTAAAAAGATCAAAAATTCTATTATTCCCGGGAAAAAATAAAATAGATCTACACAGATTCAAATTTTCGTCATTTTTTAGATCTAATTTGATCTACTCATATCTAAACGACCAAAGAAAATTTGATCTAAGTAAATCTATATAAATAGGGATCTAGATAAATCTATATGAATCGCTAAAATCTTCATACATCTATATAAATAGTGATCTAGATAAATCTATATGGATCGCTAAAATCTTTACACATCTATATAAATAATGATCTACATAAATCTGTATAGATTACTAGAATCTACATAAATCTATATAGATCACTAAAATCTAGAGAAATCTATATAAATAGTGACCTACATGAATCTATATAAATAGTGATCTACACGAATCTATATAGATCACTAAAATCTGTATAAATCTATATAAATAGTAATCTACATAAATCTATATAAATAGTGATCTATGTAAATCTAAATAAATAGTGATCTACATAAATCTATGTAGATCACTAAAATCTCTGTAAATCGGTATAAATAGTGATCTACACAAATCTATATAGATCACTTAAATCTATAGAAATCTATATGAATAGCGATCTAGTGAGATCACTGTATATCTACACGAATTACTGTATGTCTATGAAGATCTCCATTGATCTCGATGATAAAAAAAAATTTAACACATCTACAGAAATCACAGCAGATCTAAAACGATCAAACCAGACGTACACAGAACAAAATAGATCTAATTGTGCCAAAAAATAGATCTCAGTAGAGCAATGTAGATCTATTTTATTTTTTCCCGGGATGTTAAACAAATATTTATTGTAGCAAGAGAATGCAAAGTCTAATAATATCTAAATAGATCAAATTATATCCATTAAAGTATAAATAAATCTAAAAAGATCAAAACTTCTATTATTGTATCTTACATTTTATATCTCTAGATAAAAAGATTAGTCGAAAAATATCTTAGTAGATCTTATTATATCTATGTAAGTATATTAAGATCTAAAAAGATCAAAATTTATCTTATTTAATCTGAAGTCATATATTTCTGGATTTTTTATTATGTCTAATAATATCTATTTAGAGATAATTATATCTAAAAGTCTCATAATACGTATCTTTTTTAATATAATTATGTCTAATTATATCTAATTGTGTCTAATAATATCTAAAATTCCCGAGATAAGATATATTACTCGATAAAAAAAAACTACTTTACAATCATTCAGAATAAATTAAAAAAAAAAATTTCAATAATGAGATATCATCAATTTTTCATTAAACAAATATTTTCAGTGATCAAATAACTATCAACTTCATCAATAAATGAGTAAGTTCTAAATATAGTCATCACATAAGTACGTTTATAAATAAAAAATACATTCATTACTTGGAATAACAATTTTTGAAGTGAAACTTTTTATGGGACCCTACACTTGTTGTGAGATTGAGAGTCAACTCGTCGAGCTGACGAAATATGTTGGGCTATTTGTCCTTTTCTAATTGTCTATTGCTCGACCATGGAGTGAGAGAGATAGAAGAAGTGTACGAAGATCCATATAAAAAAGAGACGCCGAGAATAGTTGCCAGGCATAAGAAGAGAATTTTTATTAATTATTAATGATAATTATTACTAAATATTATCAACAAAATTATTAATTATTGTTAACTAATAATTATTTGCTTTAAATAGCAAATTTCACTTCAAACGTCGTTAGTTTTTGACTGAAAAAGACTTTTTTTTAACTTCACATAAAGGCTGGGTTTTTCTAACCTCAAATTACTTCAAATTTTTATCGCCAAAGTGTGCATTTTTTATTTGTTTTTTTTGCTTAAAAAATATTTAGGATTATTTAGAAAAGTGGTATACACATCGGAAAACGAAGATTTATAGTACAAGTGTAATAATAATCGTAGAAAAAATAATTTTCCAGTGAAAGGCTCATGACAAGTGCATCCGCCATGACACCTCGAAATTCAATAAGGCCGATTGTTGGAATTCGTAATTTTGTCATATCTTTACGCTTTGAGATATTTGAAAGCATATTTAACTAGAAGGTTTAGAAACAGGTGTACATACGTGCAAATGTACGTACGTATATCAGGTTTTTTTTCATTTTCTCGAGAACGAATGAAGATATCGACTCCGGAGGAATTTCATTTGAAAGATAATACAATGAAGAACATCTGAATGTAGTTTAAACAAATTCTGTCTAACGATTCTTTTTTTATAACAAATAAACTGTAAAATAAATAAAATAAAAAGCAATTAAGAGTCACTTTTATTTATTATGTGATCAGAATTGTTAAAAAATTGGACCAATATTGATAAAATATTGTTTTTAATGACTTCATACGTCCTATAACAATTGCATATTGTTTATAACAAATTAAAATTATTATAAACAATTAAAAAATTTGAAAAAAAATATTTTTATAAAATTGTAATAAAAAAATGATTATAAATAGTTACTGGGCATATGTAGTTGGTCCCGTAGGCCCAAAATGCAGGCCCATTGTTTATCATTTTAATTCATGGAAGTTTTTGCTTTAGAAAATAAATTAGAATAAATTGACGCAATGACTAATAAATTAGCACTTAATTATATTAACACGAACAATATTTGCATTCGAAAAAAAAATATGTCATACCAAAAAGTTAACAGTCTGGTATTCTAAGCATTATTCAATGACTAATGCAAACAATAAAAACACATTTTAATATATTAATATAAAATGTTATCATAGAACCTAATGGATCTTCCGATAGTTAAATAATAAGTATTATAATAAATTCTAGCTCAAATATAACAAATATATTTTTCTACTAGATCAACAGATGTATTAAAAATGGTGAAAAATATGTCTAACAATTAATACGAATGCTGTATTTATAGATTATTGATAAGACCTTTACTACGACTATGGCTTACGTGACGAAAATGAAACATTGTCTCAGAATATTACAAATGTACATTACATTAACTTCTTACAGACTTAATCCCAAGACTTCTAGTATTTTTTTTTATCTCTCATTATTTTTCATTTCATTCATTGTTAGTTCTGTGGCTATTTAAGTGTGAAACATCATGATAAGATTCAGTAAATTATCAGTGTGGTTTAATTTATTCTTCTTTTCAACGATTTCAATTACTGTTTTAACTTTCCAAGAAATTCCAGGCTATACTTATGTCAAAACTGGTGATCCTGATGTTCATCTACAAGGTAAGTCTTATATTTTTCACTTTAATTAACATTAATTATTAATTCTTCAACACTTGAACTCATTTTTAAAATTATTTTTACTATTTTTTTTAATCACTTGAAATAATTATTTTGATGATTAGAATTTTTTTTTTAGAGATATTCTAATGGAGAGTAAAGTGTTTAGCAGACTCTAAGAAAAAATTAATTTAACTAGAACTTATTATCGAAATGTTTCTTAACTGATTACAGATTATACTTATGTACGTTTAACGTTTCTACGAGGTCACGTTGTCGGTGAACAATATTTGAACAAAAAAGGTGATTGTAGTGCCACATGCTCTGACTATAATCACACTAGGTATTATAATCATCCAGATAATTCATCATTGAAACAAACAATCATCTGTAATGGACATATTTATCGGTGTAGAGAAATACATCATTTTTCTACATTTCAGACTATGGTAGTATTCATTTATTATCTTTCTATAGCAGTGATGATTTTTTTTCGTAATATTTTTAAATAAAAGTGAAAATTATTTAGAAAATTTAAGTTGAAAAGTGAAAATATTTTAATTTAAAAACTAATACAAAATTAATTCAATACAATCGAAAATTAAATTATTGAAATTACTAATTGACGAACAATGAATAATTGAATGAAGTTCAGAAATTTTAGAATAATTTAGTATTTAATTGTTGGGAAATAGGGTACTAAATAATATTTTAGGATTAATATTTCAATCAATGGAAAATTTTTATTTTAATTAGGACTATAGGAAGGTAATTTAAGTAAAAGGAAGGCGGGACTGTTTTTTATTAATTGGCTTAAATATTTTCAATATTTTCACAATTTCATGCTTCTATAAAATCTTAACAGTCACGCCAAGTTTTTGGTTGTTATGTTTATTGTGTCATTGAACGCACTAAATTTTTTTTCAAAAAAAAAACCGAAGAAAATAATTCATTTTATATATTGTTGATTTGTAGATTTAAATAATTGGCGTTTAATGATTTTAGGACTTTTTGTAATTTCATCATTGTCGTTATTTATGTTTGGCGCACATTTTTGTACAGCCCAGAAGGAGGGGGCTGTTTTTGATGAGATTTCACCATTTTTTGTACATATCAACTGAAAAGGAATATTAAAAAAAAATAAATCTGTTCAGAAAATATTTTAATTATTTGTATATTCGCGCTCGAGCAAAATTAACTTGTTACCAACTTCATAATCTGTTAGTGAAAGAACTTCATAGCAATCAAAAACTCTGATCACCAACTTGATAAAAAAAACGTATGATTGCTCCATGAATAAACTCTCATTTTACTCAATTTTTGCGCAACGAAATTTTTTCAATTTCGTATATTATGAATGAAGCAATGATAATATTTCATCGTATGCTTGATCGAAAGTCAACGATCGCTTTCCGAGCAAATTCTTAATTCCAACCCATGTTTATGTTATAATAAGAAAAAAATTTTTAATTTCAAAATTCTAACCTGCAAAAATCATCTTATAATTTTTATAGAGACACGGTAGTGCCTCGTCGTGACGTAAGGGCTAGATGGCGGCGATTTATGCTTGGCGCACGAGACACTACCGTATCTCTTGATTCAAGTAAAGCTAAAAAAGTCAAATATTGTTATTAACAATTAAATATTGTTATTAAAAAAAAAAAAATACAATAGATTGAAACAGCAGATCCGATTTGAACGGAACATTTTAGACATGTAGAGGGGGTTGTTGGGAAGGCTGTAGGCTACTTTTTGTTTATATATATTGTTTATAAAAATTGAAATCATCATAAACAATTTAAAATGGGATCTGTGTAATATATTCGAATTCTTCCAACGGAATATTTTTTCTTTTACTGAAAAAGAATTACTTAGTGAGTAACATGAAAAAAAACCAACTCTTTCTATTTATGCCAATTGAATTTGTTATAAACAATTGAAAATGAGGTCTAACAATGAAATCCGAATTTTTTTTTATCACATATCGTATAGTCAGCAGAAATAATGTTGTAAAGAGTCAGGATTATGTTGTGAAACATATGATGTGTTTATAATAATTATATTAATTATAAACAATAAGAAATAAAGTTTATCAATAGGAATCGAATGTTTTTCTTCAAAAATCGTTTAATTAGCCTAAATTATGATTCAAACGCTCACATTGCATTCGGAAAGAAAAAATATAATTTATACTTAAATTTTTTTATAACCTCGAAAAATTAGAATTTTATTGTTAGACTCTATTGTTAATTATTTACAACAAAGGCAATTGTTATAAATAAATAATATATTACTGTTAATACCAGCTAAACAGTATCTATGCAGACGAAGTCATGGATAAAAATTAGTATTGAATAATATTTTTTATGACATCTAATAATTAATCATCAATATCTAACTATTACTGTACTTCAGTATAATTCTTTTTTTTTAATTTAATTATCCTAAACATTGCGAGACAATATTATTTTTAATGGCATTCAATTAATTTGTTATTATAATTCTTCAATTTAAACAGAGGATTGACAATCAACTGTACGAGTTTGTTTACAACAAAGAGATTAATGAGTACGAGTTTAGAAAATCAGACGACCACTTAGCCCACTTTTATTGGACGAAGAATCATCGATTTGCCATGCATGATACGCTGTATGACTCTAGTCATTGTCAGATGTGCAAGTGCTATTGTGATGACGTTTACAACCGGCTCTCAGTGCGTGCGTTCTGCCAGGACTTGGTCTCATCAAACACAGAGCTAGGATAGTAAGTATTATCTTATTAAAAAATTAATTGATAAATTATTCATCAATTATTACTATTATCAATCATCCTGTCTTTGATCAGTGTCATCACTGGACTCAGATTCGCTATGAAGAATCGTGTGATTCTCATAGAAATCCAGCAGGGGAAATTAGTAAGAGGAAATATTGATCAGAATACAATACATTGGAAGACTCGAGACAAGTGTGAATATCATGGATATTTGACTTATGATCATCGTTCGATACAATTAGATGATGTGTTTGTGCCTCCTGGTGAAGTTATCACAGGTAAGAATATATTTTATTTTACAGTTGATTTATAGAATGATTGGATCTTGATGAATCACAGCTTATGAACCTTTTTTCATTCATCAAACATCAAGAGATCATCAATAAGCTTTTGCTAGTAGCATGGTCTATTTGCAAGACAACATTCTTCAAAGGCATTACAAAATCTTTTGATTATCTTATGGAAGAACTGCAGACATCATCGACAGCACCATGGGTGTCTGTTTCCGCATTTACGTACGGATCTTGCGACAGAATATTACGGCAGGATCTAACTCTAAACCTTGCTGTAGATTTAAGGAAGAAGCTGGCGAAAAAATTAGCAGACCATCAGCAGAAATATGAAAGGCATCATTTCTTCAGCTGATTTTTTTGATTGAGTTACAGGAATGTATGGAAGAAGTCAATACCTTTGATATTTCTGTTGAAAATCTGCTGATTTCTTTGATGCCAGTTTCTGCATCAAATCTGCTGCAAGATTTCGAGTTGGATCTTGCAATAATGTCCTGTCGTAAGATCCATATGTAAATGCGGAAACAGACACCTACGGTGCTGCTGCAGAGTCAGACATTCTGCACAAGATCATTACGCAAGATTTTTAGCAGACTTTTAAAAGCCAGCTACTACACGGAGAAAAAATGCCAATAGAAAATATTGGAAACTCCAAGAAAAATTACCGTGCAGCACGGTAAACTGGACGCAAGATGTCACTCTTATATAATCTATCGGTCAGCAATAGAAAAATTATTGTGCTGGCACGGTAAATTTTACTAACCTAACCTCTAATTATTATTTAATTTGAATATAAAAATTATTTTTCCAACAATAAATTTTATTAACATTATTTACAAATTTTCTTTTATATTTCAGCTGTAATTTTATAATAATAATAGTAATATTAATAATATTAAAAAAATAATGGTAAAGTATGACCGCTTTTACGACGCACGTGTACAAATGTGGATGAGCATGCGTTAAATCTTTGTCAACACAAAGCTGTATGATAATTTTAAAAAATTTTTTCAAGTTTTCTGTAATATATCCATCAATTCTATAGATATTTTAAATTGAACAATTGAATTAGATTCGCCAATCAATTTCGAGAAAAAAGTCCCGACTCACGGAACTCTCTGCCGATTATTAATAATTTAATTTTAATTGTAAAATATGGGCCTTCAATCGCCTGTGTGCTTGGAGTGAGAGAGAAAGTGAAATTTTCCCGTGCTGCAATAGAAAAATTCTAGGACAACAAGTAAAATGTATGTTTTATCCTCGAATTTTTCTTCAAAATTCTATCAATTATTCGTTGTCCAAAAAAATTACCGTGCTGAACAATGAAAATTATTAGCTGCACTACAATTTTTCTAGTGAAACTTATAATTTTTTTATTTAAATCTTTATAAAAATCACCAAACTGACAAAATGCATCCAGTTTATATTGCTGGACTATAATTTTTATTTTGCATTTTTCTCCGTGTAGAAGTGATTCATGAAGATTCGATCATTCTTTATAAGATTATTGAATTAAGATTCACTTTCTTGATGAACATTTTTCTAGCTGTTACATGGGATAGATATGATCGTCCAACAAATAAACTAGGACATAAGATTGGTAGACTTTCTTTATCAGTACGGGGAACACTTCTAGATGATTACGGAAATCTGATGCCTGAACATTGGACTGCATATCACAAATTCTACGTACGAAGGTATATAATGCATATTAAACAATTGATAAACATTTTTATTACACTATTTTTATTTTCATGAGTGCTAGGAGTCATCTTAAAGTTAATCGAGTAGACATCCCAACATCTGTGACAACTAAAGGCCAAGAAATAGGTGGACCTAATAAATATTATATCAAATTCCGACCAACAGATTGGTTTAAAGACTTTGCCCAACATGTTGTGCCTTTCATTGATCTTCAGGAAGTGGTCACTTATCCTCCAAAACCGTTATCGGGTATTGGAGTTTATTACAGAGCTACTGAAGGCTTTGGTGGATTTCTAGCATTCAAAGTTATGTTTAATAAGACACTGAATTATTATTTTATGCATTAGATCTAGTAGTGTTAGTTGTAAATTAATTTATTCATGTACTTGTCTTATTGAAAAATAGATTTTTTTTACATTTTTCAATTTTTTCATCATTATTTCAGGCCTTTTTGATAAAATCATTTCTTGTTAAGTATTTAAAAATAATTATTTATTCAAATCAACACTAAAAAAAAAAAAAATAAAATAATGTCTCCATGACTTTTTAAGAAGAAGATTTTCGTCAAGTTATGATTCATGAACGATTCAATTGTTCAAAGTGCTCTAGTAGACAAACCGTGATAGCTAGAGCAAAAATATGGAGCTTAAATTAAAGATTGAATTCTTAGCTACAATTTTTGTTCAAACTTTTTTTTTGTATCTCTAATAGTTTCGGAGATATGTGAAATTAAATAGTCGTTCTTCATACTTGCAAAACCAAGTGGAGTAAAAAAAACGATGCGCAGTCAAGTTGCGCAGTAGTTCAAATTTTTGGCGCGTTTTTTAAACGACTTTAAATAAACTAATGCATTAATCATTACAACCAAGTCGTTTTAACAATATAAATTATTAATAAAAACAATTATTTATCATTTAAATTTGTTTCTGTTGATGAAAATAAATAAAAACATGCTAAGTTGAATTTAATAATTTTTTTCAAGGGATATTTGATGCTATAATAGGTATAGAAAATGTCCTGTTATAGAAATGTAATTAAGGGGATGTTATCTATAAGAAAAAAAATAGAATTAAGGTTCTTATATCCTTTGTATTGATTCTTATAGCTGATTATCTATATAAAAATTGATCAACATAGCAGGACCAGCTGTCAATTTGTTCAAAGGCTGCCGAAAGGCATCAAAAGGGTATTCTTTAAGCTCTCAATTACAAAAGGGGTGTTTTAAATCGACCCTCTCATCCCATCTACACATTTGACAACAAATCTGTCATCTAGGAATAGAATTAAGTAGTACACTGTCATAAAAGCCACAATCATCCCCTGTTATATCTCTAGTAACATGAGAGGGGGTTGCAACCCCAGTCCCATCTGTTCTTTTTTCTGCACAAATTCGCAATTTTTCCAACAAAATATTAATTATTTCTCCATCGATCTCCAACATCCTAGACCTTTGATTGATTACTACCTAGTTTGAAGGTTGAGTCGTATTTTTAAACAATCAATCGATAAACCAAGGACTCTTAGAGGTGTCCAAGGAATTTTTATCAAGAAAAATATTCATCTCAGAGTTAATAAACCCAAGACCAAAGACGCCGGACGCTAGGGTTAACAATGAGGTCATCATAGATATCAAGCTTCGCAGCGAATCGACAATTTATGCTTACGAAACGATGCGATAAGCGGATGCCAACAGTGTAATGGGTCTGAGGACCATAAGCACCTAGTTCTATTGAAGATTTGCATGACAATATCCTCTTGTCATTATTACTACAGTCCAATCAAATGTTCCACATACGATGTTTGGTCTTGATTCACTGCTCAAGTGGTCTTTTGTTCATTTTACTTCTGATTGTCATCATCATATTATCACAAATAATACTCCAAGACCGGTAATTACATCATTCATCCCTCCACCAGGTCTATAAGACTCCTTCGCAACCTGGACCATTCTTGCACTTTTTTAATTTACTACATTTCTGATTATATTATTTAATTACTTAGTAAGTTATTCAAACAATTATTGAAGGCAAACTGCATTGGTTGGGTCAGGACAGAGAAAATAGACGTACATAGAAGTTCAATGCTGTGTTCGGTTTAGGGATCACCCCAGGCCACCCTAACCCCGTTAAACTCCTACCTGGCTCCATAAAAACCCATACTAAATTTTTTGAACACATCGGCCCATTTGAAATAAACTTGTATTCACATCTCTCTTCTCTGGTCACGGCAACAGATAGTTAGAAAAACAGTCGATAGATGGGGTGGTTTGTTATCTAGATATTTAGATAAAATTAATATAAAGGAGTAAAGTTTAATATCACTGCTAATATAGCTGTAAAAAGTATCTAGATAATTGAATGACGATATCTGAGATAGTTGCTTTACAAAGATACTTTTCGTAGCTATTTTAAATATTGTCTATCAAGTATTGTTAAGAAAGTAGACCAATAACATTATACAATTTTAGCAGCGAGTATTTTTTATGATTCTAAATAGCGTTCGTATCTGTTAGAATAAGAGAATAATTATCTAGGTGAGTTATCTGAGAGTGGACCACGCAAGTGTATGTATAGTATAAGTGAGGAAAATGTTTGGATGCCTGGACAGTTAGTCTTAGGACAGCCTTCAAATTATGTAAAATTGTTATCTATCATTTTTTTAATCTCAATAAACGTTCTATTACATTGAGTTGTCTCCACATATTACTTTAAGATAACAACAGTATCAGATGACGTTAACACTATAATCTGACGATCAAAGATGAGGTTATGAACTCGTGACGTCACAAGTCACTCTTTAGTGATGTAAATAGCTATTATAGTTATCCAGCATTGCTCAGCAATATTTTTTTCAGTCTCGAATGATAGAAGAGTAAATAAATGATCCTAGAATTCATTATTATTTAAAAAAAATAAATACATTGATGATGATATTAGAATGTTGTAATGATTTCCAAAACTCATTGTAGTTAAAAGAGAAAAATTAAAAAGCCTTTAAAAAATTTTGTACTCAACTGAGTGACAATAGAACGGGTATATTTAGGCAGAGACAAAAGCTTATTCGAAAGGGAGATGAGTCGACGTGTTCTGGCACGAACAACCCTATTACTGTCGACAGAAATACGGCTGTTACTACTTTCGTGAATTCCATGTTATTTTGTCTCTCTCTGGGAGAAGAAAAAGCCGGAAACGAGATGTCACACGAAAAAACTTGTGTCCAATTATGCAATAGTTGAAATTGAAAGAAAATTATTCAGCTTTATTTCGTGAAAAATGCAAGAAAATACGTGGATGGAACACAATAAAGTTATCAACGTCATAATTACGTTGGAGTAAATTAAACGATTCCAACGAATCGGTGAAAAAGAAAAGTTAATTGGTGAAATGAAGTAAAAGTTAACTCACCAAGCAATTTGTCGTAGGATTATTCGAAGCGATTGGTATAACTATGCATGGATATCAGGATAGTCTAGGTGAACCAAGCGTGTCGATTAGCATGCCAGGGTGTCGAGATAAGCGGCCTAGCCATGACGATATAGTCATGGACGATCAGAACCTCAATACCACCACCATCCTACTGATAATCTAAACCCATTGTCTCCTGTCCTTTAGTTATACAATTGACCTCCAATTGCTACGAGTTTTATCTCTTTTACTCGATAGTACCAAGCCATCCAAAAGTGATCACCTGGAACAGAAAAAAAAAATATCAAAAATTTATGTGACTATAAATTGCTGATACCTCTAACATACATCACAACATGCATCACAATCCAACGTGATCTGACATTTTTCATCTATGTAAAAGAAAGTAGGTCGTGTGAGAAAAAATCCATTGCCAATGGTTTGATGGCTTTTAACAATTGCTAGTTTATTTGCATTTCTCTTATGCTCTGATGCATTTTTGGAATACTTTGGAAAATTTTTCGCATTTTAAGTCCTTCATTGACCCATTTTGATGTTGAAAAAATATTTTTCTTTTTTTTTCTCCAACAATTATTAATCATTTTTACGCTCAGTTTGAATAATTTTCTGCAAAAACTGTTCTACTTTTGGTTTGTTTTCAATATTTTTTTTCATGTTTATTATTTACAGTACTCTGATGAACTTTTATTCAGATTAAAATGGTCGAGTAATTGATTATTCATGAGTAAAAAGCAGAATAATATTTATTAGTTTATTTATTGATGTACCTTTTAATTTTTATCAACCTTTTGCTGTTGTTTTTCTGGTACATTAGCTTATCTGGGTTCAAGAAATTTTATTTTGCATCCAGCAACCAAACTAAGCATCAACTGCTACCTAAAGTTCATCAAGCAATCTGTTGTAAAGGTGTTCAAAAGATAGCTTCCAATGCTTTCAAGTTGTTACTCTAGATGTTAAAGGATGTTTACGACAGAAAAGTATCAGTACAGAAGATAGCTTATAGGTTAACATCTGATGCTATTAAGACTATTGTCATCATTGATCCATCATTAATTACCCTAGCTAGCATGGATTCAGTAAAAATGTACTTAAAGAGTCAGTAAAATTAAGTGGTGAATCTAGGAGACATTTACTGATGTCCAGTGAAAGTATATTTTTCAAAATATACATAAAAATGACTAATTTTGATTATAAATACTTTTTATTTATTAGATATGAACCACAAACGTGTTTTATTTATTATATTAAAAATAGTTTTGAGGTTAAGTCATAATAATAAATAATGAAATTGTTATAAAATGTATTGTGGAGGATCTGAGCAATTACTGTAGTAATAATATGAAACTTAAAAGCTTTGATTGAATGAAAAAACAGTTTTAGAATAATATTCATATATAATAAACAATTTTAATTTCATTGATAATAAAGAATAAAATGTATTACTTACCAATTACAATTAATTCGCACTTCAATCCATGCTAACCCCAGATAGATAAATATGACGATCAAACAACACTAGCGAACTTCTAATCGGTGGCGAAAAATGGAATTAATGTTACTGCGTAGTTGGTAAAATGACGGAAAACTACTGAGTCTTCGGTAAATTTGTAGTTTACTGAAAACCACTAGTAACTTTTAACTTCTCATATTGAAGAAAGTAACTAATAATAATAAATTTAAAAATATTGATTGAAATCAGATAGAATTGGAATCAAATAATGAATTAATTTTCCACCTGGAAATTTCTTTTTCCCCAAAAAGGTTAAATTTATTTTCCAAACTGGTTATATTAAACTTGGTGCCTGTGCTTCAACAGAGTATAAATGAAGCGGGATGTGACGGGGTTGTTAGTAAGCATAAGCGTAGGAAGGTCGTAGGGAAACAAAAGAAAATGAAGAAAACTCATTCTTACTCTAGCAGAGCACACATACTCACACACCCACAAGACCTCGACAGATGGAATGGAGGAATGAGAGAAAGAAGATGACCTGCTCGCGATTAGATGACTTGTCAACCTACGGGAAAATTGCATTTTACAAACTTGTTACGAGAAAAGAATTGGAAGGAATTGAGGAGGAGGAGGCGGAGGAGTGTAAGCAGGTGGGAAAGAAGAAGGAAGGGATGAAAGAGACAACGTTAAGTCGCTGGTTTGAGTGTAACTCCGTTTTACCCTCCCTAAAGAAGCAGGACTAAGATGAGAAGGGAGTTGTGAAGACGAGTGCAAGCTTGAAGCAATGCAAAATCGTCCTGTGCACCCCTAAAGCACATTCCAACCCTCCAACATTTCCGAATGTCTTGTTCGTCCTCCTCCCTCCCTCCCTCTAACTTTGCCTCCATCTTGTATTCAACCTATTCCTATTCCTTCTTACAAAGAGACACACAAATTGCCTTAGAACTTAGTTTCGCTGGATATAAAGGACTTTCCGATTACGTTATCCGAACTCCGTGATTGATTCGAAATGACGATTGCGTGGGCAACTCAACGTGACCTCTTTCTTGTGTATCTCGACTATCAAGTACACGCTGATTAATGAAATGTTATTTTGCTCAATGTGCAATTAATCTTAATTGACTTCAGAAATTCTCTATAATGATCTCATAATTTTACTCAATGATATTTCAAAATTATTCTTTCAATTAAAAGCTGAATTTTTGAAAGACGAAAATATTTATCGATCTTTAAATGCTTGTAACTTTTAAACTATTTGTTTTATGGAGTTGAATTTGAGCTCAATTGAAAGCTAAGAATCTCTTCTTTAAAATCAATATCTTTAAATTTTTCAAAAAAAATTTTTTCGTATCGAAAATATTAATTAAAGAAACCTAAGTAGCTCTGACTTAAGATAGATCAAGTACTTGTCGATATTAATTTTTTTGACGGTCTCGGAGGTTCAGAAAAAAATTTTCAGTACATGGATATTAAAGCTGAGATTCTAAGCTTTAAAGTAAGCTTTAGTTATTCCAGATATGATGATTTTTTTACTGAGAAATGATATTTTAAACATCACTAATGGATTTTAGAATTATTAAATTAATTCCAAAAGTTGGAATGATTTAAATATTTACAAATAATTAAAAATAAATTTCACTGGACGGTAAAATAATTATTCTGATTCTTAATTCAACATGAAAATGCATCAATTCAAATGAAAAGAATAATTAAAACATCAAAACTCTGAAGAAAACGAGGTGAACTTAGTAAGTAAGGAAATTGGGTTAAAATAGATAAACTTCTAGAAGCGCCGTGGAGGCGAGACAAAAATAATATGGCACGAGGCCACCTTAACGTTTCTGATCCTGGCCGAATTCTCAAGTGACTACCCACACCTCTGGAGTTGAAAATGAAGAGAAAATTGGAAGAGACTAGAGTAGACTGGCTCAAGGATTCCATGAGATAGGCGACAAGCCAGTATTGGAGCAGTGATACCCTTCCTACATCTCCAGGGACTAGCGAATATCGTAATTCCGGGGTTTGTTACACGATTTCATCCCTTACAAGTATTTCTACGTTCCACCAGCTCACATCACCCTTCTATTAAAATGCTTCTTATCAAAAGAAAATACCAAATTTAAACGTTTTATGATTTTTAATCTTTTTGCTTCTAAACTCATTCCAGAAAACCAATCTCCCAGAAGTGTCTACTTTGCTTATAGCTAGAGATAATGAAGCATATTTGGAATACTGCTGGTTATTTCAAATGCGAGATATTGAACCAATTATCTACACCACACAGCTTGTAAATATCATAAATAATTTAAATATGAAATTTTGTGTTTTATTCCAAAACGTTTTTTTTTTTTTTTGACAATAAAATTATTGAAGATACGATATAATTATGCACCGAAGGAGGGGAGAGTGGGGTAAACACGGACACCCATGCTTGGCTATGTTAGAAGGGGTGGAAACATATTCCAAGTGATACAACCGGAAGTCAATCCAGAATGCAAAGCCTGACGAACAGTAGTGAAGTGACAACGCGCTCGATGTACGAAATATATTGATTTCATTATTTTTTAACAATTTAACATAATTTTTGAGTGAAATGAAATAGGTGTCTAACATTGTAATGAAAAGCATGAAGATCTTCCCAATGACGATTGAATAAAATGTAATAAATGTCATCTATGGGGCCCACGAAAACTTTACGATTAGTGAACCCGAGTCAAAAAATTGGGACTCATTTTGTCTTCAGTTAGTCTTTAATCGAATTTCAATATATATTTGAGACTATAGGACTAAAAAGTCTTATTTTATCCGCGGTTTTCCATTATTAAGACAATTTGAGACTTTTGAGAAGTTTAGATTTTTTTTAAATCTCACTTTGTCCTCAAAAAAGTCTCATTTTGTTGTTATTGAGGAAAAAATGAGTTCTGTTTGAAAATTGTTTGGTCCATTAAATGAGGACAGGATGAGATACATGAAACGTTATTGGGACTTTATTGAGTAAGCAAAATGAGTTTAAAAAAAGGCCGGTGTGACAAGAAATATTGAGGCCTATCTGAGACTAAGTGGGATTTGGTTAATGAAGGCTTATGAGAACTAAATAAAACATTTGAGGTAAAGACATGTTAAATGAATACAAAATGAAGATAGTACGATCGAAAACATTGAGAATAAAATCAATTTAATATGATTGAAAATATTTAGGATAAAATGAGACTAGTGAAGATTCGATGTAAATAGGATTATGAAGACTAATTGAGACATTTAGAATAAAAAAATGTTTAAATCAGACCAAAGTCAGTCTAAGTAGTTTACTTCAAGATAAAACAAGTCCCAATTTTTTGACTCGAGAAAGTTCATCAAAAGGATTTGTCTGTGATTTAAATAATGATAGAATTCACACCATCTGTAATTACCCTACGTGCTGTGGAGTAATTCTGGACACTGAGGTTTTGTTTATTTATAAAGATTTGATTTTTTATTGAAAATTCATCCACGTTGACTGTGAGATCTCCAGCTTTATTAATTCAAGTAAACTTTTAATAATAAATAACATTCATAACTTTAACTACTTTTGTTTTATTTCAGCTCTCCCTTAGGTATTCACAATTACCCCACTCTCCTCTATATGACACATTTTATAGAATCACAGACACTTACTATTTATTCCACCTTTTTTTATTATTTTTTTTTTTAGCTATCTTTCGCCCTAGTTTGGTTTATGCTGTTAGGCCTATTTAATTGTTTTAGATAAATAAATAAATTAGTTCATTAATTACTTAATGTATTTGCTTAATTCCAATCAACTGTCTTAAAACTACTTTTGAAAAAATTCAACGAACATCAATTCACAATCGATACAACAGATAAAAGATAAATAAAAAAAAAATTCATCAAAGTAATTTAAAATATTGAAAAAAGTTATTTTTGAATATAAAAATAAAATACAACTTTTAGAGTGATGTAAACATGCTGTGGTAATCAAAAAAACAATATTTAAACAATTTTTTTTTTCTCTACGATGATTAAAAAATTAATCTGATTTTTTTTAATAAAGATAAATTGAGAGTGATTATACAAACAACATAGGAATTGAATAAAAAAAAATGTATATAAATGGATTTGAATGACAGAAAGAAGTTATTCAAACACATCCCAACTGGTCAATGTTTATACAATATCCCGGGTCAACTAAGAGATTCAAAAAGTGTGATGGTAATGTTTATCACAAAAAAAAACTTGATGCCTTAGCTTTTTATATCAAGCTAAAACCTGGAAAGATTGTGCGAAAAATTATTAGGGTAGACTGTGATTTTTTTGGATTTTATGGTCGAACGCTTTCTCTTCCCTCAGCCTTTATCTGACAAATTTGTTTCATTATTCTAGATAAAATAGCGACGTTTGACTCAACGTATAACAAATAACGGTGACCGGGAAATAAAATCGATGAAGACTAAGTCCAAATTTTCAGGCGAATAAAATATTCCCCTCTGGCGATTGTGAGTTTGAATGTTTTCCAGATGATTGAACAGTGCATCGAGTGCTCTCATGTGCAAAAACCTTCATTCTTTTTACCCTCACGCTGGTACCACCATCCAAGAAGCTTTTTCACGCATCCAACCTATTTACATATCAATTTATTCTTAAATTAATCACTTAATTTTCTAAAAAATGAAAATTTATTGTTCAATACTTACTGATCCAACTCTAGGAGTCAGGTGTTGAAAGCATGATCAACATCATCCAGGGATTCCAATCCAAGAGATTGAAGATCCTAGCAAATGCACCATGGTATGTAGCTAATGACATGCTGTACAATGATTTCAACATCAAAACAATCCTAGAGGAAATACAGTCACTTAGTTCCAGGGATGTCCAATGTTTAGAGAATCATCAACACCAGCTAGACATGCTGGATAGCAGTGAAGACATTGAAGATGATCAACCCACTAGACTTACCTGGTAGGTTTCAACGAGCCATGGTGTGTCAATCACTGGAGAGTCCACTGCTAGAATGAAATAGAAGCAAAATTATCAATAGAAGCTTGACCAATCAGCTAATGAATATAATTACCAACATCTAGATCGATCTCCAGTTGAAGAAAGCTTCAAGAAGCATCATCCAGGAGCTTCAATTGCATCAGTTCCTGTGTCTGTCATAGTTAAGAGCACAAAAGAGTCTTCATCCAAGGACATTGGTTGGTTCCATGTGATAACAGATAACAAAAAATAGCTGGAGACACGTATCTTTATTCCATGATCTTTTTTCGTTATTGTTTTCTGGTCAAAGGATAATCCAGCGAAGAGAGGAACAAAGTCCTGGACAACAATCGTCTTCCTCTGATGGAGCGTTGATTGTCTAGGACCTTCAGATGAACCTTAGCACATCTCGATCATCCCAATGAACTTCTTTGTTCACCATCTGGAAAGAAATTGCTTGTTTTCAAATAAAAGCTGCATTTTCTAGTGGAAATTTCATCTACTCTTTAACCTAAGCGTCGAATTTTTTAGATATAAATTAATTAAGTTAAGTTTGATGCTGTGAGAAATGTAAGATGAATCATCAGGGTGGGATCGAAAGGATGAAAAACGTGGAAGAAGAAGATGAGTCAATTGGTAAGTATAATCCAAGTATATGCGGGTATCTGATTATCTTCTTTCTTAGGTTTCTCATCTTTTTTTGCTTGTGATTTTGATGAATTAGCAGGAAAAAAAATGATATGAGGGCTTTTATTTAATGTTTCATAGTTTCGAACAATTTTTAAAATACCAACAAAGTTTATTTCATATTATCCCATTGTTAATTGATTTTAAATTAAAGAATGGCTCAATTATTATTTCAAATAGTCATGCAACAACCTCTTGCTCCATTCCAGCTATTACACCCGGTGTAGGCTAAAAAGGGGATCGATCTTTTGGATGTCTTTTTAATAAATTATAACCTCAAATTGGACACAGAAATTATAAATAAACACAGACGATTTTTTGTCTTTTTATGCGAGATAAAATACGTCCCTTTGGGACCTGAAAACGGGGAGCAAACTTTAACTTTGAGCAGGGGTATGATAAATAGTACATTTCACACCTAGGGAGGAAAAGTTGGCTTACTCAAACCACGCGTAAATTGTGGTAAACACGTGGTTTAGAATAGTCTAATTGTCCTCCTTATGTCTGAATATGATTTTTCGTCATACCTGCATGGAAAGTTCAACTCCCCTAGTAGCCATGATCTGAAGTTAGAATTGTCGACAGACTTACGTACGTCTGTTTCCTTTCTGCGGTAGTATCTGACGTCTGACGTTGATCTTACGTTAGGAAACCAAAAGACAGCAACATACGTAAGTCTGTTTCCTAATGGCTACAAAGATTCTCTCTAATGGAAAAGGGAACTTTCCACACGAGTATGGCAAAAAAGACTTTTCAACTCGAAAAAAAAATATGAAGGAGGCATTTCCGCACCCAACATATGTATATCAAATTTTTCAGCATAATTTTTTCTATAACCTACTAAAATTTCAAGCTCATCGGAGAGTTGTGAGCTAAAGTACATAATTACCGTTTTTCTCTACTAAAAAAGATTTGAATTAAAAAATATCAAATGAAAGAATGAAAAGATACGAAGGTGGGGAATGAATGGAAGGGAGGGCGGACGGGGGGAATTTAGTAGAGTCTACTACTGAGAAGAAAAGAAAAAAAAATGGCACTGGTTAGGCACAAATTTCTGTACAACCTCCGCCGTCCCTCTTACAGCCTAAAATTAATCATCAATAAATTCAGAAATCCATTTTTAGATTACGTACTAGAGACTAAGTGTAGGTCTCTAGTCTCTACTCTCTTATTACTCTCTACTATTGAAGAGTCTAAAAATGTAAACAAAGCACAAATAAATTCTGTAATTTCCCCAGATTCATTTTCGAAAGGAAATGATAACGATGATAAAACAAATAGTGTTGAAGGATCCAAAAAGACTTTTTAGTTATCCAACAACGTGATTAATAAAAGGGCAAAATAATATTATGCTTTCCCATTACTCCAGAATATTTACACTCGAATTTAAATCATATATAACGAAGTCGATTGGCTCCGATAAATATGAAAAATATGGCCACCTACCAACAGGACAGTAAATTGCATTTTTGTAATAAATAAACGTATTATGCAGCTTGGAGTTTAGTCTGACGTGTGGTGGTGGTCAACAGCCAGTGGAATGTCGATAGGCACCACGTGGGTTGCGTGAGTTCAGGGGTCATGTGTTGCGGTCACGATGTTATCGTGATAATCGCAGCTCGATAATATTCTCCAATAAATTTTAACCGATAACGAACAGAATTTATATTATTGGAACGCCGTTGAGTATAAGCGCACTGTTACGATGTACTTCGGGGCCAATTCGTTGTATTTTGACATTTTGTTCCCCCCAAAAAAAAAATAACTGATAATGACATGCGATTTAAAAGCTATTTGTCAAATTTTCTTGTTTAATATTTTTTTATCTATCGCTAAAATAAAATATTTTCCTAGGGAGATTAGAAGTAATAAATTGACGATAAATAAAATTATAGAGAAAAATTGAAATTTATGGAGAAAAGAGTTTTACGATTTATGTAAAATGAAGGGGTGGGGTTTTTTTTTTTATCTATAAAATATTGTCATCATTGGAACTTAATCGTGTAATAAAATGTTTTTGTCTTGAATGTTTGTCTAACTGCGTTTTATACCACACGCACTTTCTGAAAGAGGGATAAAGTTTTTCCTGAAGGAAAATAAATAAATCGTCATGGCAATGTTCCAGATTCTTCTTATTTTCTATTCTCTCCTTATTTTTGAATTTATTCATCCACAATTATCTTCATCTTACTGCTTCCTCTTTCATTCCAACAATAATATCCCAACGTAAATTCTAGAAGCTTGAGACTATTTAAATATTAAAATCAAAAGTAATTTATTTGATAGCATGAATTTGTGATAAATAATATCTTGAATCTTAAAGGAGGTATGGAGACAATTAAAAAATAAGAGAGAAATCGTTTTTTAACTAGCACTTACTGTTTTTAACTTTTACGAGCTCGTTAAACCAATAGGAACAAACTTGATGCTTGTTTCACTTTTGTTCTCTCCTGACTCGGCTTCACTTGGTGTACTGTATTTTGTTATGGCCTGTTAAAACATGGAATCTTCTCGTTTACATGGCTCACTTCAACCTCATCGAGATGTAAGAACTGGCCGTTATAACAATAACTACAAGCTCCAGCCATTTGCAACTTGATATTTAAATTTACGCGGCACATTTCTGCTGGAATTACCAGCTCTAATTTCTACGGCTCAGGTTTTGTTAACATCATTAAAGAAAACATCTTGAACAATTTTTTTTATTATTTTAAAAAATTGAAAAAAATAAATAAGATTGAAGAGAGTAATGGTAAACCCGAGTCAAAAAATTAGGACTCATTTGGTCTTCAATTAGTCTTTAATCGAATTTCAATGTATATTTGAGACTATAGGACTAAAAAGTCTTATTTTATCTTCGGTTTTCCATTATTAAGACAATTTGAGACTTTTGAGAAGTTTAGATTTTTTTTAAATCTCACTTTGTCCTCAAAAAAGTCTCATTTTGTTGTTATTGAGGAAGAAATGAGTTCTGTTTGAAAATTGTTTGGTCCATTAAATGAGGACAGGATGAGATACATGAAACGTTATTGGGACTTTATTGAGTAAGCAAAATGAGTTTAAAAAAAGGCTGGTGTGACAAGAAACATTGAGGCCTATCTGAGACTAAGTGGGATTTAGTTAATGATGGCTTATGAGAACTAAATAAAACATTTGAGGTAAAGACATGTTAAATGAATACAAAATGAAGATAGTACGGTCGAAAACATTGAGAATAAAATCAATTTAATATGATTGAAAATATTTAGGATAAAATGAGACTAGTGAAGATTCGATGTAAATAGGATTATGAAGACTAATTGAGACATTTAGAATAAAAGAATGTTCAAATCAGACCAAAGTCAGTCTAAATAGTTTACTTCAAGATAAAACGAGTCACAATTTTTTGACTCGGAAAGAAGGATTTAAAAAATTTGTTTTATATTCAAACAACTGTATCTTGGGTAAAAATCATCGAATTGTCATCATGCAGAGCTTATTTTAAAGCTTATAATCCCTACTTTAGAGTCCTGTTTTTAAAAAAATGTTATCTACCCCCACTTCTTCACAAAAAAATCAAGAACTATGTGGTGCACCTGATGTTTTTATTCTTGTAAATCTACTCGTTCAATGTTAACAATTTATTTCAACTTGAGAACAATTTTTTTGATCGAATGTATAAATTGGTATCGAAAGCTCATTTTCTCAGCTTTAAAATGCATTTTTAAAAATCATCATTAGACCATTTTTGACCAAGTTACGAATTTACAAAGCCCCAAGACTTATTATAATTCTTAAGGCTTTTTTTTTTGGAATTTTATTTTTATTCAAAATAAAGTAATCAAAAAAGGAAATGAATTGCGAAATAAATTATTGTATCTTATCATAATTAACTTAATTTATCAGACTTCTTCCAAAAGTACTTCTGTTTTATTACCACGTTCAATGATCATCTCTGTCTACTCAGTAAATTTTATGTAGAGAAGTTTTCAGAGATGTTTTAACCAAACGCTTAAATTAGCTATCAAAATTATAATTTCTTGAGAAGAACATAACCACAACACACCTAAATGGTCAATATTTTCAAAGAAAATAGCAAATTTTGAGTTGAAAAACTTTAAGAAAGTTTCTATTACCAAAGACTTGATATTGGAAATCGTGAGCTTTACAAACTATTATTGTTAGATACTGTTGGAAGTTAGAGAATCAAAGGCAAAGGATTGAATTGAAAACGTATTTCAATGGTTTAAAGATATGTTTCAAGTTTGGTGGAACGTCGTAGAAGTTTTCTTGGTTGAAAAGAAAAAAAAATCGACAGAACAAAAAAGTCAAAAGAATTAGGTAAAGTTATGAATACTTACGATAATAGCTGTGATCTCCTTCACCCTCTGATATCAATCGAAGATAAAACTACCAATGTCAGTAACAGTCGAAGTCCAATTGTCGAGATTACAAGACCTATCGACCATTAGAGTATTTTAAAACGTGGCTAAGCACTATCCTGCATGGAATGGCTCTTCTTTCAAAGTCGTTTCATTAAAATAACTGATTAGAGGTTTGGTGGGAAAGTTAACACAGCATCGGTGAATGCCAAAAACGATCATAGAAATTATTTCAACCATATTCCCAATTCGTTCTAGCATATTCATTCAATACAATCCTTTCAACCTTTAAACCATTTTTTCCTGGTAATTGTTACCAAAAAA